CACCCTACCTGCCAGACACAGAAAGCTGACAGGAGCAAGGAGCTAATGCTAAGATGGGAAATGCAAGAAAGCACCTACTCTGCAATCGCTTAAAGCAAATCTGTAGCTAGTAGGAAAGTGATGGGGCATGATGGTTACAAATAAATGGTATGATAAGTGATTTATTGCCTATTGCCTTTCCTTCAAAGATACCAGCAGTTGCCTTTGTCACTGGTAGAAGTCAATGTACATTAGCAAGATAGACAGCCTGGTTCTCTCTCATGTCTAGCTCACCCAACAAGGTAAGCAAAGTAGCAATTACATCAACTGAAAGAGTAATTACATCAACTGAAAGAGCAGAACAGAAGTGTAAGGACAGCAGCAAACTGTTTGAACACTGAAATGTCATACTCTGCCCTATGAAGTCAGGGACAAGTTTGATCCTGCCTTGCAGATAAAGACAAAGCCAGCAAGATTAACAAAATGTTTTCAAACAACAATTAAAGAGCTTGGTAAACTTCCTATAACAGCTATGAAAACAGCCACAGACTATGAAAACAAGCATTCCAGGAGACTTAGAGAAGTAACACTTTATTACATGATGTCACAACAAGAGTGGTGCATTTAGAGAGAAATGAACTATTAAAATAAAAACTCTTTGATCAGGTATAACACTATATATAATTTTATCAGGTATAATAAGATCCCAAATCACCTGAACAGGAGCATTCTCACAGAAATTCAGTTTGGCTGCCCATGCAGTGTGTGCCCATGGCCTCACTCCAGTCTCCAAAGATCATTACAATAAAAAAACAAACCAAAACCCAAAGCTGCTCAAACCCTGCAATTAAGAATTAACTGGCGTCGCTGAAAGCGTCAGTCACTCTCACAGACGCTCTTGAGGAAACACAGAGCAGATGACTTGGTGTTCACTCTCCTCCTCTTTCAGATTACAGCTAAGAAAACTCATGAACAGATTTTTCATTCCCGTAGGTGTGTTTCCTTCAGTGACAATCTATGGGAAAAGTTTCTTAAGGTACAGAATTCCTTCATGTCATTATACACTTCTCTTTTTCCTTCTGTTTTCATTTGCTCCCCAAGCCCACTATTTTACTGGGACAGTTGGTATTCTCATGCATATCCTCCCTACACCGATCCATCACACCAAAACCCCTGCATGCACCTCAAGCAGAGACAGAAGGTCATGCAACACTGCTGGTAAATAATCAAAACATTACTTAGATTCCTTGGTTTCCCAGGAGCTCCCACACAGAGCCAGAGCTCTGGGAATATCCCATAGCTGTCTCATCTAGAGATGCTGACATTTAAAACCTGTGATTCCCAAACCTGAATTCTCTCCAAAATCACAGACCTTGGAGAATATGAGCAATTATGCCAACAGGCGACAGCATGTTTATTTCTGACGGAAGACTTGATGCCATACAGACCTGGTTTCTATAGGAACCTCAAACCAAACCACTGCTAGAATTTTCTTGTAATAAATTGTTTGCATTTTTTCTAGCTAGCACTGGTAATAAAATTAGATTGATTATTTGTAGAAAGGAGATGTTGAAGAATGAAATGCGCTATATATCATTTTATTTCTGGGTCATATGCATTAGTTTCCTTATAAATGGTCAAGAGTTTTGCTTTGCTCAGGATGACACAATAGGAACCACAAGTTTTTTCCAGAAGCCCACTTAAATGATACAGTGAACTTACCCACAATCAATTCTTCTGAAGAGGCTGTGGCTCAATGAAGATTTACACATCAAAGAAAAATCAGTACGTACAGCTCCACAAATCAATGTTGGGGTTTTTACCCCCACGTCACAAGAAATACCACAAATTGCAATTTGTGTCTCAGTAGCTCCTCATTAAAGTTCCTGAGCAGCTAAAAAAACCACCTTGAGGATTGCAAGGTCTCTGTAGAAGTGTAGCAATGTCCCCAGATATGCCTGAAGCCTGCTTTTAACTGTAGCCTGCTACTACCAAATCAGTCAACCCTGGAATTAGCTGCAAGCTCCAAGGCTGGGATGATGCCAGGTCTGTCCCAAACCCAGTCCTTGGCCTGCACTGACCAGCATGGTAAGTGCCCCATTGGTGAACAGCCCAGGCTTGGCTGCAGCAGGACTATATGGACACCCTGTAAAACCACCTCATGTCCTATTCAACAACTGGAATGGCATGAATCCTTGTGCTACAGTCCAAGGCACTATACATTAAAAAGGATGAAAAGTTGTTTAGGCTTGTCAGAGGTGGCATAAGGCAGCCTACACTGCACTTATTTCATACACCTACAGTATTTAAAAAGCATCTTTTAAAGATGGTGAAAGTTAACCAATTTTAGCACAAAGTAGTCATTTTGTGCTCTTGATTCTACAGTTCTCATAAGAATCTACAGACAAGTGGGAAGGGAAGCAAGGTGACCATAAAGTAGGATCATTTTATACTTCTAGAGTCTGAGAAGAAAACACTGTGTAAAAGAAACCATAAGAAACACTATTTCCTAATCCTGTATGTTTAAAGATGTTTTGCCTACTTAGCAGGTGTCAGAAGACAAAATTTTCATATAGAAGCAATATCAAATAAAGAAAATTGGTGGAGAGATCATATCTGTCCATGACAAATTAGTCTTAGACTTTCAATGACTTGGCACTCTATCCAAACTCGCAAGCAAAATCCATCACACAGTCAAGATGACCTGACGTAAGTTAAAAAGTCAACATTTTCTCACTCCCATCTACTGCTCTTAAAGTGGTTTTCTAGTGTTTTTGGACTCCGTAAGTTCTTGCTTTGAGACGGCAGCCTGACCATACAATTACTGTCAATAGCAATGTATGAAGTTTATGAAACATTTTTCTACAAAGTTAAGATTCTCAAAATACACACAAGAATGACTGTTGAGCATTTCTATTCTGGAAAACCATCTCTCAACAGAGGAAGAAAAATGCGGAGGTCAATATATTATTATGTACTTGTAACCAAGTGTTGTGGTTTAAGCCTGTAAAACTCAGAACCATGCAGCCGCTCGCTCACTCCCCCACCTACTTCCTCGCCCCCGCTCCTGGAAGGATGGGGAGGAGAATCGAAAGAATGTACCTCCCACGGGTTGAGATAAGAACAGCCCAGTAACTAAGGTTTAACACAAACCACTGCTGCTACCACCAGTAATAATAATGATAAGGGAAATAACAAGGGAGGAGAATACAACCGCTCACCACCCACTGACCAATACCCAGCCTGACCTGAGCACCAATCTAGCCCTTCCAGGTAGCTGCCCCCAGTTTATATACTGGGCATGACATGCTGTTGTATGGAATACCTCTTTGGCTAGTTTGGGTCAGGTGTCCTGTCTCTGTTTCCTCCCGGCTTCCCCTCCTCCCTGGCAGAGCATGAGACTCAGAAAGTCCTTTGTCAGAATAAACATTACTGAGCAGCAACTAAAAACATCGGTGTTATCAGTGTTGTTCCCAGGGTGAAAGTCAAAAACACAGCACTGCACCAGCTACTAAGAAATGACCACTACTGCTGAAGCCAGGACATCAAGTACATAGCACTGACTTTCAGAATGTCTAACTCTCAGATTTTCTTTTTAAAATACTCCATCATATGACAACAAATTTTATGCAGCTGAACAAAGTCAGCAGAGCAGAAAGTTCTTTTAGCAGGCAACTGCATTAATTTAGCAAGCAATTATGCCTGCTCAACAAAAGCATAAAGGAAGAAAACCTGGACATAGCCAGAGTTCAGATCCAAGAGGACCAAGACCTACTTGAAGCTTATTTGATCTTACTATTTTGCTGTTTGCATTTTAGCCAATATATCTAGAGAAGTTACAGATGAAGTATGAAGGTAAAATGTTAATCAGAACAGAATAACTTCCAGAACTCTTTCCATACATAAGCTAATGCTGAAGGAAGATGCATAAATGTATGGCCATGTTTAGACACTTATCCTACCACTGATCACTGAAGTAAATCTCCTAAATATGTGACTGAAAAGTCAGGTGGCAACCTCCCAACACACTGGAAACACTTCTCTATCCTAGCGTCATGACAAGGAGAGAAACAGCTGGCTTTAATCTCATCACTATGATGTCAAACAAGATAAAACCATTACTGCAACATACAGACCCTGAAGACCAGGTACCTCATTTTCAGCCACACCACCCATACCCATGATCAGAGTCTTAACCAGAGACTTAACCACATTCCATTACTCTCAATAATTACAACCAAATAATATGGGTCATGTCTGTTCTCTATAACCACAAGAAAAGGCCTCTGACTTCTCTGCAATATATGCACCCCTGTAGAAGACTTGCAGAAGGTGAATGAAAGTCAGAATAAGGGCTCACACCTACTTCCCAGTCTTCTATTCCTAAATTTCAACTTGGAATTTACATCATATGCAAATCGTATTTTGCAATATTGAATGTCTGTATATTTTAGCCTTAAAATTTGCATTATATATTCATGACACTTTGGCTGACCTCTTAGAATGGGCTCATTTCCACCCACCAGAGGAGACCAAGCTTTTATTTCCCTACAGTTACCATTCAGACACATCCAATATGTTTCTGCATTTATCACGAGGTTTTTTTCATTTTTTGCATTGTGCGGAGAGAAATGAAGAGTTTCAGATATCAAAAGTAACACTATATGACTCAAACATATTTGACACTTAGAGGCCTTCACAAAGCAATCTGGACTTTGTAAGAGACAGATTTCCTTGAAAACAGACTACTTTACAATGCAGTAATAAAGGCTACTGCTAACAATTAGAGGAAAATGTTCCAAAACGCATATACCAGGATCTCAATAGATGAAACAGAAAGAGTAGCTCATCTTGACTTCTCTTTAAAATAAGGATGAACTAATAAAAACTCATTTGGGGGGAGTGGCGGTGTGATGTTTGTTTCATTTGCTTTAATCAACACAGACCTTCAGAGGAGACAGACAGCTGGCACCATCTATTCCAGGACAGAATGAAAACTAAAACTTCTTCATTGTACTTACATGTGAGGACTGAGTTCATAAAAGTTTCGGTTTCTGTATTCTTCCACTTTCTCAGGAGTATAAATGGGTAGAGATCTGTAGGGGTTTATTGATATCACCACGCTACCAATGTATGTCTGTTGAAGGAAAACAGAAAAGTTATCATGGATTTTACTTTTAACATGCTTTTGCTGCTTATATAGTATTGTCTCATTTAATATTCATGCAAAACCAAACAGCTTAATTCTAGCAATGAATAAAATAGGTACATACACTCAGAAACACCTTTTAGATCACTCTCAACAATCACCAAGCAGCTGTTTTACATAACAGAAAGCTCGTGAACATATTTTAAAAGAAAGCCCGATCTTACACATTTCTGTGACAAATTCAGCTGGGAGAGGGAAAGGAAAAAGGACACAGATGTCCCTGAAGAACCGCTCCATCTGCATGGCAAATGTCACATGGCAAATTGCTGCAGCCCTCAGGCACTCATACAAAACCATGTAAAGCAAGGCCAGGGTTGGACTGCACTCCCTCACCCAAGGAGGAGCTTCACTCTATCTCCCAAAGCCTCAGGCACAGAAGAGCTTCACAGAGAGGAAACCTGAAGGCTAATAGCCTCTGACAGGTTTCTGTCAAAGACATTTACTGTTAGGATTCAAGTCAGTCAAAGTCCTGCTGTAGTTCCTTAGCAGACACGAAGCATGATTTTTATTTCTAGACTCTACACACACTTGGAAAGCAGATGGAGTAACGCATTGTTTTACTCTGTAAGGTCCCACGCACTGCTGAGCCGAATGAAGACGGATACCGTACACCATGATTACCATCTCAGCACATGACAACTAACCTGCCCTCGTCAAGCCTACTGGGAGGTGCCCTGCAGCTTTCTACACCTCCCCTCAGCTGTAAAGGCTGTATTCGAATATACCAGAGTGGAAAAAATGCCAAACCCCCATTCCACCCTGCCTGCAGGTACAGATCAAAGATTAATTAAACCCCAAGTGTTCGGTATCTCTTTCCACAACCACGAAAGAAACAAATAACAGGTGGTGAAACAAAATTTTCCAGTAACCAGGGGCATCTCAGGAGGTGTGAGGGCTGCACACAAAAGCCAGAGGTTCCCATTATTCGGATTCCATTTGCTAGTAGCTACAGAAGTAAAGCAGTGTTTTTTACAGAGATACATGATTTTTTTGCGGTGACACCTTGCAATCACTATTTGGATTTCTCCCCATAACTTTTGTGACAGGAAAAGTAATATGTGCTGTAATATGCATTTTGAAAGGGGAATAGAGGCATGAGGAGTCCAAATTACTCACCAACAGGTTCAGCAGAGCACTGAATTACCTCCACAGCTGCAGTCACAAATTAATAATATTAATTGCTGCAATGCTTCCCTGTCTAGCTTTCCTGTCTAAAGCAATTCTCTGCTAAATGTTAACTAAATCTGGTCCTAAGCAGGAAGCTAGGAGGGCAAGATTTCCCATTTTCTATAGCATGTATATGCACAGGCAAGCTGTGAACCCCCATGGCATTTTCTGTCCTGTTTAAAACAGAGTTGAGCAAACTAGACTGCAGTGATAAAACATGTAGCATGAGGCTTCCAGAGACTCTTGTAGTTAACCCTTGTAGTGTTTACTACCCACTGGATGAAACAGAAGCAGCTTCTGCTGACAATTCACTGTACAACTGCTGCTATGATGAAACACAATACTTCACTAATTGGGCTCAAAACTCACCATTCCTAAACATATACTTTCCCCACCCCCTCCTCCAGAACTGGCCAGAAAACTTCTGCAGAACATTTCACCCCATGCATCCAAGCCCAGAACAGAACAAATACCCTAGAAACAGGTTGGTTTCACCTCAAGAGCCCATGCGGAGCTCAGCTACGGGGAGCAAGCCTGAAGTTGTCTCCCATCTTGGCAGCCAGGCTACAACTCAAAACAGGACAACTCCAATCTGCCTTGCACTGCAACCCAGGATAAAAATGCCCCTAAAGGCATTCAGATACTGACTGTTGAGAACCATCCCTAAATAATTCAGATTTCTGCTAATTTCAAACACATGCCACAGTGTATGATTATGTATATATATTTCCTTTAACTATTGATAAAAAAAATTGTCCTAGTTTTGTGGTCATCCTCCCCCAAGGAGGAAGATGTTTTCCATCTATGTCTAATGTCTTTGGCTGAGCAAGACGCAAATGCAAAAACTGCCTTTCTACAGAATCTACTTTGCCTTCTTTAACACGTGCAGCTTTGGCCATTTGCAAGTCATAGAATCATAGAATCATAGAATAGTTAGGGTTGGAAAGGACCTTAAAGATCATCTAGTTCCAACCCCCCTGCAACGGGCAGGGACACCTCACACTAAACCATCTCACCCAAGTCTACAGATTCTCGTTAAGAGTAACAGATTGATAGCCAAGGGTAATAGTCAAGAGTAAGAAGCTTTCTAGCCTTCACAAGTGCATGGATACCCCGCTTAGGACTCTTTCTTGATAAAACATTAATATGTTGATTTGTTTCCTCCTAAATCCTTACAATTTGTGAATTCAGCCTGTCGTGAAATCCACGCTGGAAAGAATCAGCAGAAGAGAGACAAAGACTAGATCTTTAAGATTGTATTTTGAAACAGAAATTCTTTGAAACTTGAAGACTTGCCCTTTTCAGCTTGTCTGCCACCGTAACAGCATACAATGTAATTGCTAAGTCCCCTGAAGTACCCCAAGATGCCAAAGTAGAGAAAGATGAGTGAAAGCAAAACCTTTGATTTTAATTTTGAATACAGGCTTTCAAATGAGATTTATTTAGAACCATCTTTTCATGGCTAAGTATTGCTTAGACAATATATTTTGGGAATTCAAGTTAGCTGTTTATTGTCAGACATGAACAAATACAGACCATTTCCTAAAATACCAATACTTCAAAAGGTCAGATGGCTATATAGAAACAAAGACATACTCATGTCCATTTTAAATACTAAGGCAAACCATGCCAAGCAATCATTGTTTTTTTGCTGCAAAGCTGCTTACAAGAACTAATGCATTTCCTCTTCTAAAAATGCCAGTATTTCAAAGCTGATGCTTAATAGCTACTTGCTACTGGTGGTCTGTGAGATTCCACATAACAGGGATAAACAGATCCGGAAAATAGCTTTCCCACATAACATCTGCCTTCCCACCAGAACTCTATTATAAACAAACAACATAAATGGCTTAAATCCTTGAGCAAGGGACAAGCATAGAAACATTCCAGTGATGAAAGAAAAATGCCAAGAGTAGTGGGAGACCATACTGTGGCACTCCAGAGACTAAAGAGATCCTTCATTTTCCCTGTTTAAGGAAAAAAATTAAACCCCAGAGGAATGGTCTCACGATGATGAACGCACAGAATGCAGGCAGGAGATTTGTTTCTTTCTTGGCTTTGACATGGTCTCGTTATGCAAGTTTGGACAAGATCTGCTGTCTCCTCAAGTTTTGCTAACTAGAGATTCTTGATAATATTCTTTCCTCCAAATTTCTACTTTAATGCAATAACTCACAAGGAAAATTCTGCCTCCTTGGCATGTTTGTCCAGAATCCAAACCAAGAGTACTCTCACTTGCTGTTTATCAGTCCATCTGTCACATAGTATGGCAACACTGTAATGGGCTAACATTTCATCTGAGCAAAAGAGCATTGAAATGTCTATCAGGTCAAATGTCAGCACATTCTGCATTCTCCACCAAAACAACACATACAACTCATTCCTGTTCAGCAAAGGGTTTAACACCCCAAGCAGGAAGAAAATTCCAAATCACAATTCAACTGGAAAAGATGATAATATCTGTTACACATCACTTCTAAGTACTGTTCAAGATGCAATGATCAGGACACTTTGATGCCTGATTTTCTCCCCAGAGGACTGAAAGCTAACATAACCTCTTGGGGCAAGATACTGCTGCTACTTCAAGCTTGTATGCGCCTTGCAAAGCCGCCTGTGCCTTTCTAACCCAAGCAGCTTTAGGACTGGCATAAGAGGAAGCCTGAAATAGCAAGACAATAGGAGGCACTCACTGCTTAGGAGAAACCTACAGGCAGCAAGCAGCCTGTTCCCAGACAAGCATTGGGGAAAGCTATTGCTAGAAACTGGCAAACTGCCTAAAACCCCTGTGGGCGTTTTTAGCTGAGAGGTTGCAAGACCCTTACAGAGAGAGCAGGGAAAGTTCCAAACACCTCTGCAGCCAGGACACACAAGCACCATGGTAAAATCTGATACACAAGGAAAATGCAATACAGGCCAACTCAAGAAGGGGAGCTTTTAGAACACCACTAAGTAGAGCTTATGGGAGAATATTTCACACCCTGGGATACAGCATATTAATAAAGCTATTTCTCCTCCTGGTAAAGTTAGTCTTTTAATACCCCAAGGACCCAGAAGTGAGAAGATTGCAGCTGCGGAAGCCAGGGAACATTACTCAGAGCAGCTGAAGCTGCAGCATAGGAGTTATCCTACAGCCTGCTCCATATCTTTAAAAGCTCCTCTGCTTTGTAGCAAAAGCAACCTTCTGCAGAGTTTAAATTCATTAAGCATCTACACAGATTTGCTGCAAACCTGTAAGTGCACACTACATCACTTTCGTCAGCTCTGTTTAAAAGAAACTCACTGCTTCTTATCCATGGTAGCTAGTAACAGGTCAGACAAATTGCTACTGCACACAAATCACTCCAGCCTTAAAATGCCCAACTGCTAATGTACCCTGCAAGTGTGCTCAATTCCCAAAGGCCAAAAAGGTTGCCCTATTTTATTTTTTTAAACCTACTACTTTTTAAACCTATTATTTGGGGGTTTTGCCCTATTTTATTTTTTTCTGTGTTTCATTTTATTGGAACACAGAAATAGAAAACAAATAATTCTACTGAAATAAGATTGCTAGTGTGGATGCTGATTCTCCCATTCATGCAGAGTAGTTTTAATACTCCAGATATGTATAATGCACCTTTCCTTAGTATTGATTATGCTCAAATGTACAGGGTTCCTATGACTTTTAAGAGTTTTACATCATGCCACTAAAACAATTCACTGAAATGAGAGACATTAAAGTTAGATCAAAGAGAAGTGTGACTAGATTTTATTGGCACAAATCC